GGCCAGCTGCAGGGTTTGAAACGAATGCCAGGCACTGAGCTCCCCATGCCAGCACAGCTGCCCGCTTGGTGCGCAAGTGAGCGCTGCTCGGAACTTTACTTCAAAACCACTTTGCAATGAGAGAAATGTTAGTTTGCTTCTTTCTTCTGAAAGTGTCTGTTTTCAACAACACCACCACCCCAAAATGTGTCCCCCTCCTCTCTTTTTTTATTTCCCCATTTGGAAAGTGGGGGACTGAGCTCCCCATGCCAGCACAGCTGCCCGCTTGGTGCGCAAGTGAGCGCTGCTCGGAACTTTACTTCAAAACCACTTTGCAATGAGAGAAATGTTAGTTTGCTTCTTTCTTCTGAAAGTGTCTGTTTTCAACAACACCACCACCCCAAAATGTGTCCCCCTCCTCTCTTTTTTTATTTCCCCATTTGGAAAGTGGGGGAGGAGGAGGAGGAAGTTAGGGAACATTGGAAAAAATAACTTTTAAAAATTTGTCTGGGGAAATTAATTAACATTCAGGTTTGGGATTTGGTTGTTCAATGAACAATGGAAAACCTGTAAATACCCAACCCTCCCACCCGCCCCTTTTAAAATCTGGGTTGGAAAACACTTTTTTGGAGCTGCTCCAGTGAGTATATTGTGCAGAGTTGCCTAGGTGGTCTATAAAGCCTGGAACCCTTTGGGGTGGGGCAGGGAGGCAGCAATTAACCCTCATCTTTGGGGCTTTCAAGGAGCCCAAGAAATTTAATAAGGAAACCAGCCCAGTTTTGCTTTCACCATGCTTAGTCAGCTGACCAGAAACTGGCAAATCCGATTGGATAGAATCTAAGCCCCGCCCCTGTTCAGAACCTCTGATCTTGAGTTTTTTCTGAGTTTGGAATAAGTTGGCTTTAATCTTTGTAGTATTCCCAGCTGCCTCTGCAGGGCCAGCTTCAGGATGGGACTAGAAACATCATGAAATCACAAGAGGCTCTTCTGATAGTATGGGCCTCCTGCAAGAGTCTGGTTGTAAGATTCTGTATAGAAACAGACCAGAACCAAACCCCCAGGACGTGATCTTGGGGACAGTTTAGACCTAGCTCTTAGTTTAGTAGGTTGGGCTCCAGAAAGCATCTGTACTTGGGTGTCGATCGGACCCAAAGAGGTTTCCTCATGGGGCCTTTCTTTCATCGTCACAACCAAGTGAGATGTTGCTGAATAACCCTCAGACTCCACCGAGTTACTACTCTCAAATCCCCTTGCTCCAGGCTTTTCTCAAAGCCTGGGGGAAAACCCTTTTGTCCTGAATAGTCTTTGGAGCACTAAATGCCACATGCATAAAAACATCTGGATCTGGCCTAGCCGCCAGGCCCTTTCCTCCTGCTGATGCTTCCTAACGTGCAGGTGGTGGCATAGGATCTGGCGCCACAAGCACTGTCCGTGTGTTTGCTAGCCCTGCAGAGGGGACAGGAAAGGCGCAAAGTCTCTGGCTAAACTGCTGTGGGGAGTTTTGTTTTTTTAACACCGCTACGAGTGACTCAGTTGCTCTTTAACAAGCCGCCAGCTGCTGGAGGTGACGTTTTGGCATGTGAGGGGGCCGTAATGATCTTTAATTGACCTCTTTTTACCCCCAAACGCCACAGTGCTGTGAAACAAACAGTAACAAGGCAGCCGCCCTCAGCTGCCTGTTAGGGTTACACTGGCAGCTTGGATGGGTCTCGGGTTACTCCACCTTTGTGTGGGGAGAGGAAATCTCTACTGACGGATGGGATGTGGTCTGCGCTTCAGGCGATGAGAAGCATCTTGCCTCACCCTCTGCTCTGAAATTTACCCAAGTAGCCCCCGGTGGGTTTTTTTTTGCCGGGGGGGCAGTGCTTCTTTCAGTGCTGTCCGGGATTGGGGTGTAATGATGAGGTGAAGGACATCTCATCACACAGGCTGGTCTGAGGGAGGGTGCAGAGGCAAATCTGGCTGATGTTTGAGGGGAGTATACGAAGAATCAAAAGGGAACAGGCTTTGGTTGTGGTCTCGTACAAGCTCCAAAGATTGACTTGATTCTTTTTCATCTGCAGTGCTTCTTTCAGTGCTGTCCGGGATTGGGGTGTAATGATGAGGTGAAGGACATCTCATCACACAGGCTGGTCTGAGGGAGGGTGCAGAGGCAAATCTGGCTGATGTTTGAGGGGAGTATACGAAGAATCAAAAGGGAACAGGCTTTGGTTGTGGTCTCGTACAAGCTCCAAAGATTGACTTGATTCTTTTTCATCTGAACCACGGACGCTCCTGCGATGGGTGGGTGGAACAGAGCCACAGACAAAATTCCTGTTCCAAAGACCCTGTTGGGTGGTTGTGAAACCTACTTCGTGAGCTGGTCTCACCTGGGTGTTCATTGGTTCTCAGTAAAATACCTCTCCGTGCCCTGTCCCACCCCCTGATCTCGCTGTCCTAGTGCGAGGCAGGAGTTGTCCAGTCAGACGGTGGCGTTCGCGAGGGCAGACTCAGTCCCTCTCTTGCTCAGGCCCGGAGGAGACCAAAAGCAGTGCCACACAGATGAGGGGGGAAGCTCCATAGGGAGGGCTCTTCCTGGAAGTGGGATGAGGTTCTGGTGTTAGTTTTGGGTGGGGGAAACGGGTGAGTTGGCAGTAGGGAACCGTGGGAAGTGTCACTGCTTCAGAGCTAGCTTTGCTCAGCAGCAATAAAACACTGGCTTTTATCTGGCGGCTGGGAAGATGAACTCGGGGAGGAGAGGGGGGTGTTCGTTCTGTCCCTTGGTGGTGGGGCACAGGCCTGAATGGGCCATAGAACCTGGGCCATCCTTAGGCATCTGCTGTATATGCCTAGGGCCAGCGCCAGGAGGGGACATCAAACAGGTACAGTGGGCAGTGCCATTCCCTGGCCCCCATGGGCTGCACCCAGCCGCCACTCACCGCCAGGAGTGGGGCCATGTCTGCAGAAGGGGGGACCCAGACAGGGATAGGGGTGCTGGGAGCAAGCGCAGAGCGGGGAGTGGAGCATTGGGTGGCAACTGAGACGTTGGGTGTGGCAGCCGCGACCCTGTGTAAAATGCGGGGTGCTGCAGCACCTCCCAACTGCGTCTATGCCTTCCTGCCCTGCTCGCATCCACAGTCCTGAATGCACTCCCCCTCCTCCACCATGGAGGGCACCGTACATCTTAAAGGCAGCTCTGCAGAGAGCCTAAACTCTGCCCCCACTGGCTCCAGCCTCTGCCTCAGGGTTGAGGCGCTTGAGAAGAAGGAAGCTCCTGCTGCTGCTGCCTGCTCTGTGGCGACAGCAGCCTGGGGGCTCCAGGGCTTGCCATCCAGCGCCTCCCCCATCACTGCTTGCGTTGCACAGGGGCGGGGCGGGTTTGCCTGTTTGCCAGGCAGGCCTGGCTGTGGGCCGGCGCTTTCCCCTGGGGGCAGAGGGCGAAGATCAGGCCAGGCAGGTGCTGGAGGGAGTCTGAGCCCTGTGCCACTGGCACTCAGCGGGATGAAGGCCCCTTCGGCACTGCTCCTGCCCCACCCCCAGATGCCTGGCAGCCCCCTCGCTGTGGTTGACCAGGAGAGTGCCACTCTCTGCCACGTGGGTCTGCCCCACACGCTTTGGCCTGTAGGGGAGAGTCATATTTAAATAAATAAATATGAGTGCAGACCTGCCCGGGGCTCTGTGGGGCAGGCTCTCTGCATGGCTGGGCTGGCCCGCGGGCGCGAGCAGGGCCGGGCGCGAGCAGGGCCAGCCGCTCTGGGTCTCGGGAACGACCCACTGTGTGGGGGACATGGAGGAGCTGGCCGCCCCCCCTCTGGCTTGGGTTCGCAATGCCGCGGAGGCCACCTCGCTGAGCCCGCTGTCTCTCTGCCCCTCCCCCCAGATCATCGCCCCCTGGAGGATGCCGGAGTTCTACACTCGCTTCCGCGGACGCAACGACTTGATGGACTATGCCAAGGTACCATCCCCCTTCCGTGGTGTCCTCTGCGCCCCTCCGCCTCAAGCCACTCGCCCTTTGCCCCCATGGGGAGGCTCTGTCCTGTCCCCCCACCCCTTCCGCCCTCGCTGTCCTGAGTGGCCATTCTGACTCTGCCCAGGCCAGGGAGACATTAGAGTCACTGTCATGTTCCTTAACTGGCCAGCAGGGGACCCTTCTGAGCAATACCCGGCCACTCCCCTCACACCGGGGTCCTAGCACACTGCCCACAAAACCTCCCCTGAAGGGCAAGAGGTGAGAACTGACCCCAGGTCTCCAGCATGGCAGCTGGCGGCAATTCCAATGGTCTGATTTCCCTCCCCCCCATTCTATTAATTTTAGTTGCTTTGGGAGGCAGCATTAAGAGGCACTGACCCAAGGCCAGGGCCCTGTTGTGCTGGTTTCTGCATAGAAACAATTCCCCGCCCCCCTCCCGCCAGTCTCCCTGTCCTAACTAGACAAGGCAGAGGATGGGAGCAAGGAAGGCCAGCTCCCCCCCTTGTATGGATGGGGAGCTGAGGTCAAGATGTTGAGGTGCTCTGTTGCCCTGCATCATGTGCAGCCATTCACACCCCTGTGGAGTGGAATCGGGGCAGTAGTGTTTTACATCCACCGTGTGCTGGGGTGAATGATGGCACATGGGGCAGACAGCTGGAGTTTTGCCACTGGCTTCATCCTAAACTGACTGCTCAAAGCCACCCAGGGTTTGTGGCTGAGAAATGGATCTGGATTTTCAGAACGTTAAGCACACACCTCTCCTTAGTCTGCCTTTAATTGTCAGGATGCAGTGTGGCCTAATGGATAGAGCACAGGTCTGGGGCTCAGGAAAATCTTGGTTCTGTTTCTGGCTGTGCCACTGACCAGCTGGGTGACCTTGGGCAAGTCACCCTTGTGCCTCTGTATAATGTGGGTAATGACATTGCCTTCCTTTTGTAAAACACTTGGAGCTGTGCCATTGGAAAGCACCAAGAAAGAGCTGGGTCGGGGGAGTCTTCGTTATTATTTTGCAATGTAAGGGTGCTCTGGATTAAGTTGAGCACAATCTTTAATGTCCCTTGTGGGAAGGCTGGCTCTGCATGAGATTTCTCCTGTTGTTCCTGGATGCAAGGGCTTGTGTGAGTGTGTGGTGTTTTAATGGCCGTAATTACCTGGATGTTAATTGTAATCCATTTGCCAAGGAAACTGGTCCCAGCTCAATGGCTTGTGTAATAGACAAAGCAAATACATTTTCCCTTTGTCATCCCTTCCTTTTTGAAGTACAAGTTGCAATAAAACATATTAGAAGTTTTTCATCAGGTTCCTTAAGTGCCCACCAGGGTACCTTTCTTTTTTAGCGACGGCATGGAAATGCTTGACAACTGGGCTCAATCAATCAAAAGGGAAAAAGCAGCTCTGTGCATAAACCAGAAAATTGCTTCAGTTTTTAAATAGCTGCTGTCTAGTCTGGCTGGATAATATCTGCGAAGCCAAGGTGCTGAGTTGCCGCATGGAGTGCTAACAGCAGAGACCCGCGGCCTCAGCATCCCATTAAACCCCTGAGTGCTGCGTGTTGAGGATTGTGTTTGCCATCTGTTGTTTTATTATTAAGAAGGCAGTTTACAAGAGCTTCCCATATGTTGCCAAACAAATTGTCAAATAGCAGAGTTAGGAAGAGAGCTGTGTTTTTATTATATGGAAAATAGTATGTGTCTCTTTAAAAAAGCAACAGCCCCCCCCCCCCGTCCCCCTCAACAGCCCAACACAGTTTGGGGGCCCTATTTAAAAGGACAGGGTTGCAAACAGCTTTCAGAGATACTTGAGCTATTGGCCTCTCTTTAATGTAAACACAAAAGGGGTTTCTCATTCTCCTTCACATCCGAAGAAATCAGCTGTTCGCCTCTTCTTGCAGGGCCCAATCCTGCCTGTGCATAATCTAACTCACCTGGGTCCCAGGGGAGGTCTCTGTGAGATGAAAATTGGGCCCACGTGGCCCTTGATCATTTTTACTGCTCATGTGAGTAAAGTGTAGCACGTGAGTAAAGAATGGCAGGATCGGGGACTTGCATACAGATATAGCTTTCCTCCTCTGAACATTGATATCACAGGAGTGTTTACTGGATCAGTCCCTTGAATTAGTATTTTGGTTGTAATCTGAAGCTGTCCACTTAGTTTGGTTCTGAAAGAAGGTGATGAACTGGCTGCTTTAGGAAATCTAACTCAGAGACAGTGTCACTTCTGTCTTGCATTACACTGAACACAGGCGAGAGTTGGTTGGGTTTTTTGTTTGTTTGTGGGGTTTTTTTTTGTGTTTTTGTTTTGTTTTAATCTGTTTTTGAGCATTTCCTTACACTGCTGGAAATCCAAATTCAGGACCATGAGGTTAGTGTCAAAGTAAAAGTAAGTGAAACGGATGTTAAACAGAAGTAAAACAGACCAGTCTAATCCCAGTGAAGTTGTCCCAATATGAGAGCAACATCTGTTGGATGACTACCGATGGCTTTCATCAAATAATACCCTTGGATTACATTTGTTCAGATTTAGCTTTTAATGTCAGAGCTGAGTGAAATGCAATAAGTATACAAGGGGCAGAAGCTGTGCCCACTTTCTTAACTTTATTTTGAGGCTCAGCTTATTTGGGGGGCTTGTTCATGCCTCAGATCCTGGGGCATAAGATAGGAGAATCTCGACTTCTCTTTTTAAAATCATGTTTCTAGCATTCCTGGCTGTGAAGGAAAACTTGACCCCTAAGGCTTAGCAACCAGAAAAAGGATATTTTTAAAATATGCAGGGCCTAGATTTTTGCTAGTACAAACCGTCACCATCAATGAAACTAGATTGACCTATACCAGGTGAGCATCTGGCCCAGAGAACCTCCCTTTCTTCTCAGTTACAATCTTGTAGGGTCCAGTTTTAGATCCAAGTGGGACTATCTGAGCATGTCATAAATGTTTACAGGCTTGTGTCTAAATTGGGAGTAACTTGGTAGACGCCAGCCTAAACCTGGTGTGAAATCAGAATCAGGCTCCTGAATTGATCTTGGCTTCTATTCTAGCACACCAGGCTAAGCATCCCAAGGCAAATGCAGCTTTAAAGTGACAACTGTTACGACAGTTAAAATAAATAAATATGCACACACATGGGAAATTGGAACCTGGTCTGGATTTCAGATCTGCATGTTTTTTACACCCTAATCCGAAACCCAGGGAATATTTCCATCCAAGTGCCATTAACCTGTGAAAACTCAGCAGCTGATGGAAAAGGTTATAAAGCTGAGAGAAGATAGGAGGGGGGCAGGGCTGTGTGTGCCAGGACTGGTCATTGTGAAACAAGTGTGCGAGTGTTGGTGCTCTCCTGCGCACAAGGGCATGGGCTAGAGGAAGGGAGCTGTTAGCGGAGAGCATTACCTAGTCAGGGCCACCCTGTGCTGTTGATGATGGCCCATTCAGAATTAACAAAGAAGAGCATTAATTGACTAACAATTGAAAGCTAATGGAGCGATCAGCAGGCAGGGGGGCTGCTGGAGTGAGCAGAGTCCCCTGTTAGGCTGTGGAGCTTGGCCATGCTGCATGGACCCTGCTCTGAGATGGGGGGGGGGAGAAGGTTTTGGGGGGCTCTGCTGGGCAGAGTCTGCTTGGAGATCCTGGCCTGGAATAAACGTGTGTGCACAGTTCTATACAGACACAGACACACAGTTTTGTCCTATTGTGCGCTGTTTCCTCAGTTTGAATTTGGTCCAGGACTCAGGATGGGGGTGGGATGTCTCAGCCTGTTGGAAGTTCAGTGTCCCTTTCTGGTGTTCTCCAGTGTCCCATGGCCGTACCCGCTTCCTGGCTGGCCCATGTGTGCCCAAGCTGCCAGGCTTTTACCCACCTCTGATGGACCTGGGGAAATAGTCGCTGGTCCTTAGAGCTCCTCTGGAGCAGAGAGAAGGGATACAGCCCCTGGTGAGGTGTTAACTGGCTTCTCCTTCATCCATTAAAGCCCTTTGTGGACAATCTGGGGTGTCAGTCATTGGAATTTCGCTGGGATTTTGCGCACCATAAGCGTGGGCAGGGAAGACATTGGTGGGTTGGGCCCGTTAGGTGCCATACGTCCTGGCTGCTAGGGGAGCCATTACTTTGTTGGTCACTGGTGGAACCAGGGTTTGTTTTGGTTTTGTTTCCCTCTGGAGTGTTCTGGGGTTTGGCTTTATAAGAGAGGGGTTTCCATCACGCTCATCCCTATTGTGTCCAGCCACCTTCTAGGAGTTATTCAGGAAGAGCCATTGAGCTTTAATTCAGACCCGACTTTGATCCAAATTAACTTTTAAGTGTAGACAAACCTGTGCAATTCTACATTCTTGATCACCCCTTCCTTTGAATGTATTGCTCTCTCCCTTCAGGGGGAAGAGTTGGGGAATAGGATGTGGAATAGGAATAGGATGGGGAATAGGATGAGGAATAGGATGTGGATTCTGTTTGCAGAGCGACAACTGCAGCAACATTTTCCTACTGTTACTTTCTACGGGCACAGGGGGGCTCTCCGGAGGGGAGAGGAGCAGTTCATTTGGGTTCATTTAAATTCTGTATCAACTTTAACATGCAAATGGAAACACTCAGAGAAATGGGATCCTGGAGAAATGAGGTGTCTGGGGAGGGAGAATCCTACACACTGGGAGCAGGCTTTGGTGAAATCAGACTACAGTGGGACTTGGTGTGGGCCCAGTAATGCAGTCAAACAGTGAGCCATCTGAGGGACTCGTTGGGCTCTGTCAGCTCGCACTGTAACCTGTGCAGCCACACGTTCACAAGTGTGAACCCCACGTGCTGGACTTCTGACGTCGGTCTTCCCTCAGCTGCGCGCTGAGCTCATCTGAAAATTCCAGCCTCAGCTTCCTTCTTTTCATTTTCTTCTCTTAGGGCACGTCTGCACTGCACAGCTATTTCGGGGTACCAGAGGTATCCTGAATTAGCTACCCCTAATCTACACAAACCGCCCGTCTTTTTAAAATAATGGGCACGCTATTTCACCGTCTTTGTAAACCTTGTTGCACGAGGGATAAGGGGTGGCTCGAAATAGCGCGTTATTTCGAAATGTGGCGCTGTGGAGATGCACCAAGTTTCAAAATAAGCGATTTCGAAACGGATTCGAAATAAGAGATGCCATTTGCATAGTGCTAGTTGCGCATCTTATTTCAAGTTTAGGGTGCTGTGCAGACGCACCCTTACTTTCAAAAAGACTCCTAAAGCCACATGCATTTGGAAGAGGAGTTTCTCCTCTGCGTGCCTGGCAGAGTGAGCATTTGGAAGAGGAGTTTCTCCTCTGCTCCAGCCTCAGCCCCACAGCTTTGACCCGGCAGGATTCAGCCCATAGCACTGGGATTGATTTTTTGACTGTATTCTATATCCACGAAACGCGGGGTGACAATGAAAAGTGCTGACCCAGGCCTGGCTCTGGCAGTCCTGCCCATCTCCTCTGTAATCTGAGCTCCGCCTCTTGGGTGTTGCATTGCTCCCTCCCCCCCCCATGCCAGTTCCCCCTCGCCTTCGCAGCAGTCTCATCAGTGAATTGTCATCAGATAATTGAGCGAGCTGGTGACCTTGTTAGGGAGCTGGGCGTTGTGCCGGGAGGGGGTAGGGAGTTGAGTCTGGTGGGTGAGGGACTGTGTATGTGTGTGAGCTGTGTAGACATGTCCGTCCGTTGGGGGAGGGGTGTCTGTCTGTCGGGTGGTGCAGTACAGCGGTGGCCGTTCCCACACCAACCTCTCCGTGTATTATGAACTGCTGCTGAGTTCGGTGCGGGGAGTAGTAGAGATGCTTCCCCAGCGGCGTGGAAAGATGCCTGGGCCAGCCGTGTGGCTCCACATGAGGGGAGCTGGACTGTTTTTCCTGGGAGGCTGGGATTCCTTGGCTCCGGAGGCTGAAGCCAAGCTGCCCTCTGCCACTGGCCTCCACACAACTCCCCACACACCAGATCAGTGTCATTGCTGGTGTGAAGTGGGTGGCATGCTAGCTGTGCTGCTGTTCCCTGTGGTGCAGGCGGGTGCTGAGTGCCGAGGGGTTGGAAGGAGCCGGGTAGGTGGGCAGATGAAGAGGAATGTGTGTGGGAACTAAGGAGAGTGAATGGGGTCAGGGACTTGCGGGGGCTGGGGGTGCGGGACAGCTCATGTGGGCCCAGGTCAGTGCCAGAGCTCAGGACTGGTGTCTGGGTTCCAGGCCTAGAGCGAGGGTCAGAATCCAAGTGAGAGCTGCAGGATGCTGGGAGTTCAGGAACAGGGACGGATGTGTAACCACCACCGGGCGGATTCAAACCTGGGACCTCTGGAGCTTTGTATAGGAGCCTCTACTGCTTGAGCTAAAAACCAGGTGGCTCTCAGCTTAGGATATAGCATTTCCTTGTTCCTATCTCTCGATGGATGTGGTCTAAATGCCACTCTATGGGACAGTGAACCACACCCACTGTGTGTGTTACGCATGCTCAGTCCTGGCGGCTCCCTGGGGATCCCTGTTGTTACCTGGATGCTTCCTGGTACACCCTGAGGGCACACCTGAGTGCAGGGGACGCTCTGGAGCCTCTAAGGTGGCTGCCAATACTAGGATCTCTCAGGCAATAATGCCTGTAGGACACGTCTGCTGCAGGTCGTGGGGCACAACCAGATCATGGGAGCAGCCGTGTGGTCGTGTCAGTTGCCTGGTGGTTTTCTGCTGACCTGGGTGCGAGTCCTGCCCCTCCTTACCAGCGAGAGGGCAGCTGGGGCTTTCTGCATGGGTGCGTGAGCTGTTTTGGAGGGGTGAGCAGCCTCATTGACTTAGAACAAAGGAAGGACGTCCCTCTTCGCTCTGACATCTCCATTTGTTTGGCTTCCTTCTGCTGGTGGAAGGTGTTGCCAGAGGGCTGAGCGGCGCAACAGCACTGCAGGGCCTGCTTGCTAGCCACTACCCAGCGGACTCTGCACACGTCAGGCCTTGTGGGTGCCTTCTGGGCAAGGAGTCAGGCTTGGTACCCAGCTAGGCACCGTGCGGTATCAACAGAACTAAGAACGCTGCCAGGCAAGATCTACCAACCTACCAGCGTGATGTACACGCCGCTCCTTCAGCTCTGTTTGCCAAGGGGTAATTGCCACCCCTCCCTCTTGGATGTGGCCCTAAGGATTTGTGCTCGCTTCCTGCTGCCGTTCCAGCTGGACAGTAGCTTGGGTCTCGTGGCGCTTGTTCTGAGGAGAGACGGAGGTCGGCCGCTGCAGCTGGGCCCTTGTCTCCTAGAAAAGCTCCAAGGGCTCTGCAATAGGGATGTGAAATCCCGTTTAATCCGTTAAACATGATGATTAACCGGTTAACCATTTAAAGGGGGCAGGCAGAATGCCACTCCAGACAGGACAGGCCTGCTGTGGGCAGAGGGCTGCTCTGGCCAGGTTGGGTCCACCGTGCTACACTGTGGGCAAGTGGAGAGCTGCTCCAGCTCAGCTGGGCTGCTGATTAACCACTGACACCCCTAATCTTTGATTGACACTGTGGCCAGAGCCCGGTGAACTAGCTGCAGCGTGGGGTGCCACGGGGCGTTTTCGGACCCAGGCACTGGGTAGCAAGGAGCCAGTCTGCCTTCCTCACCCCGCCGGGGTTCTGAGCGTGTTTTCCCTTCTCACCCGCAGAAACATGGCATCCCAGTTCCGGTCACTCCCAAGAGCCCCTGGAGCATGGATGAAAACCTCATGCATATCAGGTGAGCTGAGGCAGATGGAGGGTGCTTCCCGTGGGTGAGGTGGCTTCGCACCCTGGTCTGATTCTCTGTCCTGTGCTTGGTGAGGCAGATGGAGGGTGCTTCCCGCGGGGGAGGTGGCTCCGCACCCTGGTCTGATTCTCTGTCCTGTGCTTGGGGCAGTCATTTCCAAGCAGGACAATGCATCTTGGGTATTTGACAACAGCTGCCTTCTCCTGGTGTGTTGGACCAAAGCCGGTCTGTGAAAGCCCCTTCTCTCTGGGGCTCAGCATCTCTCCCAATGCCCTGATACTTTGCTTGTCTTCCACACCAGGAGCCCTCAGTTGGTCAGTGGTAAGAGCCCACTGATGGAAAAATGACCTTGAATTCAACCCCCCCTTGAATTCTCTTCGTATTAGGTACGCACACTCCCCCTACCCCTGTCAGGGTTAGTAATGGGATGGAGAGAGACTCCACTGCCCAGCCCTTTTTTCAGCAGAGAAACCATTCCTCTGTCTAGTTTCTTCTGGTGCCCATGGCTAGTCTGAGCAGGTGTCTCGGGCTGGTCCTTGCGAGCCTGCCCTGGTGTGAGGCTGTGACCTGCTGCCTCTCCCCAGTCGCTGCTTGCAGCAATACTCTGTTGAGCGAGCCATGCTCCTTGCAGTCCCGCTCAAAGAGCTGGTCTCGCTCTCCGTCAGTCCCAGCTAGAGGGGGTCTGTGACTACTCATTGCATCTTCCCTCAAAGCACCTGGTGTGGCCACATAAGAACAGCCACACTCATGCCCACCGATGCGGGGGAGGGGGGCAAATAGGGCAGTTGCCCCAGGGCCTGGCGACTCAAAAGAGCCCAGGGCTCCCAGCTGCCACTGCTGCTACTGTGACAGCAGCAGTGTCCGGAGCCCTGGGCCTTTTAAATCTCCACTGGAGCACCGCAGGGTGCGCTCCAGGTGACTCTGGGGGCTGGGGGGCCAGGGCAGTTTGGGTATTACTGAGAACTGTTTGACCACCCACCCCCCGCTACCTTGCTCAGGGACCAGCGAGACTGTCAGCTCCACTGGCCACGCTGTATCAGACAGTGGTCCACCCAGTTCTGTGTCCTGTCTCCTGACAGTGGCCAAAGCCAGGTGCCCCAGAGGGAATGAACAGAACAGGTGACCATCAAGTGATCCCTCCCCCGTCCCCCATTTCCCATGTCTGGCAAACTGAGGCTAAGGACACTCTTCTGGAGGCAGGATACTAGACTAGATGGAGCCAGGTCTGATCCAGTCTGACAGTTCTTATGCTAAACCCTATGGGTCTAGTTCTGCTCGAAGAGCTTCCTGTGCTTGCTGGGTTTGCATGGGCAGATCTTAGACCGATCTGTAGATTTTTGTTAATGTCTCTCTCTCTCTCTCTCTTTCTTTCTGCTCTGAAGCTACGAGGCCGGGATCCTGGAGAACCCCAAGGTAATCGATCATCTCCTTTACGTCTCTGGTTTTACATGGCAGTGACTAGGGCTGGGGGCGTGTGATGTATTTGCAGCCTAATTTGAAATTTCACGGCAGGCCGTGTGTGGCGGGGAGGCCGAGCCCTGCCATTCATTCCCCCACCCACCCTCCGCCTTCCCCCGCCCGGTACGTTAATTGCTGCGGGAATGAAAAGGGGAAGGAGCCGTTTCAGGGTGACACTGAAGGAGAAAATGTCATTGGGGAAAGAATGAAGAAGCAATTAGCCAGATGAGGCACTTGACTGAGGGGAGCCGGCTGCTGAATGCACCCCAGCAGCCAATGTGCTGTCCCTGTCCCCATCTGGTGCTGGAGGTGGGGGTTGTCTCAGACTGACAGAGCATGTGGGGTCATTCCTCTGCCCATGCGCCACTCTGGAAACTTGTCCCCTCCACTGCAGCTCAGTTGTGCAGCCTGGGCCTTCCTCTTGCTCGCTTGTCTCTGTTGTGAAGGGTTGCAAGCTCCCTGGAGGGATTCCTCTGCTGGGGAAGAGGGGGAGCTCTGTGGTGGGAATAGAGAATCCCTTTGTGTGGGGCTGGGGTGTGGGGACCTTCTTGGTGGTGCAGACTGCCGTAGGGAGCGGCTGCTCTGACAGTGTCTAGCTGAGGAGCAGCCTGAGAGAGTCCTGTAGGGGCACTGAAGGGACTCTCTGTCTCCTCTGGGGCTGTTGCTATTGGTGAACCTGGCTTTGCGTGGGAGGTGGTGAGGGGAAAGCAGCCAGGTGCGAGGGGGACAGAGGGAGATGTTGGACGCAGCTAGTGCAGTGGGTTCTCAGCAGGGCTGAGAGTAAGGGATGTGGAGAGGAGGCCTGCAAACCAGAGCAGGGCTGGGCTGTCTGGAGACGGAGCGGGGAGTCATGGGCAGCTGGAGGCTGCAAGGCTTCAGGAGGAAACTCCCTTCCAGGATGGAAAGTCCACGCATGGATCTTCTCTCTCTGTTGGCAAAGATTCCCTCCCCGCATGCCACATAGCCCTGAAGGCTGGGCTTTGTGTGGGAGCCGGCTGGGGGCAGCTGAGGGACAGCATGGAGAACATTCCTCGCACCTGACCACGCTGCAAATCCTTCTGCCAGGGGGCTTGGTCCCGTGAGGCATTTGCAGAGGTACACGGCTGGGCGAGTGTTTATCTGATGTCTACGGGCCAAGGCCTCATAGTGGCTTGGGCAGGTGAGGCTCCCAGGCAGTTGCTAAACCCCCACCAATTGTGGCTTCCACAGCCAGGAAAGGATGCCTGTCTCCCCCTCCCTAGTGCAGCCCAATCCCAGCCTCCTACTCCTCTTGGGCGGGCATGCTCTTTCCAGCTACTGGTCCCCGTGTGAACTGACTTATCCCCTGTGCCCTGGGGAGAGCTGACAGCTTCCCTTCCCAGGCCAGGGGCTGTCCTTGTTCCGGTGCGGCATGTGTCACTCAGATAAGCATGTCTCCTGCTCTGACTGTTCTAACAGGACTGGCAGTGCTTGCTGCCTGCTGGCCGCTGTGTGTTTCCAGTTCATGCTCCACTGGCCTTGTCGCCCTTAGAGAACTACTGAAACTTCCATCAGCACCAGTTAGACAAGCAGCGGGGAGAGGGGAGGATGTGGCGAGATGAAGAGGAACTCAGTGCACAAGGGTGTATGGAGATGGGCCACATGGCCTGTGGCCAGGTGCATCCACTCATGAGTGATTGTCAGAGGGGATGGCCCTAGGTAAGAGGGAGTCTCCAGTTTTGGTCCTGTCCTGGGGACGTCAAAGCTGACAGACACAGCGACAGCTGTGAAGGCTCCGGGGACTGACGCTGCTTCGAGCTGCGAGGTTGTGGCTTCCATCTAGCCGAGGCCAGTTGTTAGTTCCCCTCAGACACGTCTCTCCAGGGGTTGCAGGGTCTCACTCTAGTTTCTAGCAGGCCAGTGTGCGCATAAACCATTTCCTCCAGCGGCACCAGCGGGCCTCTGTGTCAGCAGCCTCACACCCAGGCCTGAATGAGCCACGGGGACTGAAGCCCTCTCTTGCTCCAGATGAGGCCTTTCCGGGTCAGGCTCTGAGGCTGCAGGGAAGCTTGCCCTGCTACTGTACCTGTTCCTGGGCCTGAGGGCTGCTGGGTAAAGGAAGGCCCGAAAGTCCCCTATGGTGGGTAGACTGGGTCTTGTGTGAGCTCCCCCTTCTCCCCTAGGAGTGGTCCTGGTTGGTAGAGAGACTTTTTTTAATGCCTTTAGTCAGAGCAAGGGACTCAGACCCCTGGCCACCAGGTGTGTGTGAGCCAGCTAGGGCCAAGCCTTCCCTTCTCCCCCGAGCTTTGCCAGTGTGCTTCCAGTCCTGGTCTGGAGCAAGTCTAGCTGTTCCGGTCTCTGGTCCCTTCCCTACCTGAGCTGCCAGTGCAGCATCCCAGGCCTGGGCCTTTGTGTCTGTTGCTGCACCTCCTTCCTCTTCCGTTCCAGCATGGGGCCACTCAGTCTGGAGGCTGAGACCCTGTCAAACCCTGAGCCCAGCTGTCCAGACAGGCCCGGCCTGAGGTCACTCCACTCATGTTACTGGTGCCCAAAGCCAGATGAAAGAACCCTGTTTTTTAGCTTAGAACAGTCAGGGAGTTAGAGGCACTTGCCTTTCTCCCTTAACCCTTTCCTGGCTCCCCTTTTAACCTCTTGTGCACCCGCCATTTCCAGCAATGGAATTCACAAGGAGACACTTGCAAGGGATTAAACTTTAACACTCTCATTTTAAAGGGGTAGTGACTTCACTGGCCTCCCCCTCCGCCCCAGCCCATTTGCTAAGCCCAGGAAGAAAACCTAGGGTGAGGGTCTAATCGCTGTGGAGAAGGTCTTAGAAGAAAAGAGGGGTGCCAAACCACTGCGAGGCTCCCCCCCGCCCCAAACCTCTCAGACCTGCCAAACGGAGGGATTTGAAAGCAGATGGTTGAGCTATTTTCTGCCTCTGTGAGGCCCGATTGAAGGGCAATGAGGCAGCTAATGTGGAGAAAGATAGAAATTTACTTGCTTTAACTTCATATGGCACTCTGAAAGAGTTCATTCAGTCCCGGGCGCAACAATATCAGCCGGATGAATAAACCATTTGCGGCATCGATAGCTCTACATCATGGGTTAGTTCATGGACCATTTGCTTCCAATTTCTTCTCTTCTTGTCCCGTTTTTTTTTCTTCTTTCTTCTCTCTCCTTTGTGAATTGGGTGGGACAACCTGGAGCCAAGATCCTCAATGCTACCTACAAGGGTGGCATTTGTCAGATAGTGAGAAGCACAATGGAAGTTGTCAGATAGTGAAAAGCCCATGGATACAAATTCTCTCCCTTTCTCTCTCTCTCTCCCTCTCTCTCCCCCCTCCTTCCCTTTAAAGATGACATTGCAGGACTAGCCCCCCTGCGGGGATGGATAAATAGAAGGCATTGATACACTGCAACAAACTATTTGTCATTTGAACTGTGCTTTTAGGAGAGAGAATAAAAAGAAGGCAGACACGCACGGTAATGATGGAATGCAAGCCAAATGTCACTTTTATTCCTATTTAGTTATTTTATTTAATAGGGGTTTTCATCGTTGGCTTAGAAAATTGGAAACTATCTGACTTTGACTTCCAATGTTTAGTAAAGAGATTTTAATACTTTCCTTCCTCCCTCCCTCTCCTGTCTTTCCTTTTGAACTCAAAGTTTTTCATCATCTCGAAAGGGTTTGTCTAGTTAATAAGTATGATCAAGGCTAGAAAAGGCCAGACAATGTAAAATTGAAATCTGCGGCCCGTGTAATCTGCGTGTATGCGTGTGCGTGCATGTGCACGCGCATATATGTTGTTTAAATAAAGAAAGAGGCATGAAAATCCTAGACCGTTTTTGGTAAAATATATATTAAAAATAATGGCATTGCTTTCTGTCTGGTTTTAAAGAGAATATGAGGTCTGCTTCCTCTGAGCATTGTTAATCTGCGTGTGGGTAATGCATGCACCAAATCTAGTGCAGATCAGCAAAGTGCCACTGACTTTGGTGGGTCTATACCAATTTTAAACCAGATGAGCATCTGGCTGGTGTGCCTAGAGTTTGCTTCTGGTGTGAACAGAGGAGGAAGTTGCACCTATTTTCACCTGAACAGAATCTGTCTAATGTTAAAGGACAAATATTGAAATGTTATTGAGCCCCCTTTGTTCACAGCACTTAGAAGTACTCGGTGCCCTTCCCACAGAACTCAGCAAATCTCTGGAGAGATGGCTTTTTCTTCATTCTCAACATGCACCAGACCTTGCGCACTTCCTGGTGTAGTCCCCTTTGGCCCTGGACGCCTCACGTTCCCATTTAGTCAGGTCTGTCCTCTGGGGTAATGAATCGCGCAGGGCTTGAGCCAGAGCTGTTAGTTGGGTGTTGGATTTAGCCCCCTGTGAGGGTGAATCGTGCTAGTGACTGGCGCTCAGCGATCCTCCATCATGCAAGCAGGTGGCTTGTTGGCCGTCCCTTGGGACAGGTCTGTGGAACGCAAGAGGAACCTGTGTAGAACAGCAGTGGGCAGCCGAGGCTAGTGAGTGGGCCATATGAGTGGCCCACCTTGGTCACTGTGGCCCACAAGAGTGTCGTAACCAAGACAGTCTCCAGGGAAAGGGCAGTTTTTCTAACGGCGCTTGCGCACCTAGAATTTGCAGGGTGTGCGAATGGCTTTGATTGGCTGCCGAGGGAGAACACAGCTCTCAGTCCATGCTGTGTGCAGTCAGCACACCCCTCACTTCATGCGCCCCTGATTTACGTGCCTGTCACTCTAGTAAAATTGGTTGGAAAAAAACTACACAGACCAAAACCAGCAGAATCTGGCAACCCTGCGCATGGGCAGTGGTAAACAAATTGTCTCGTGGGCCACACATAGAACCCCAGTGGGTCCAGAGTTGCCCACCACTGGTGTATAGGTCTCCTTATGGAGGGTTTGTCTACACAGGCAAATTTATGAGCCCACTTCTACCATGTTGTGTTGGGGAAATCCTGTACTACTTTGCCCCCAATACCAATGACCATATGAGGTAGCACCAGTGCAGATGGATTGAGCAATGCGGCAAGAGGGAAGAAACCAAGATTGTTATGCAGGGGGAAAAATACAGCTGAATAGACAAACTGACGCATGTGAGATGAGCGGGTTTGAACCTAATCCCCTTAACGTGGCTCTCTCGGGGGCTCTATCTGGCATCTGAACGGACTTCCAGCCGCACGTATTGAATGAATGAAAATGAGTGGTAGGAGAAAAGCTTCCGGCAGAACTTGAAAGAGAGGGATAAAACTTGTCAGTGTGTGTCGCTCTGAAATTTCTGATTTCTCGTGGGGTTAGAGAGAGACATGCAGGAAAAAGAGATGTGCAGGCAACTGAAGTGAATTGAGAATGTTACAAAAATCAAGACTGGTTGCAATCTTTTCTGATTCATTTTTTAAAAGAAGAGGGTTAGAATTAAATGAAAATTGTCAAAAAAGGTTATTTTCCCCCCAAAGACCTTTGGAGGGGAGGTGTCTCGAAACAAAACATTTCATTTTCCCGTAGCAGATTTGGATTTGTTTGCATTTTTTCCAACTCCTCTTCCTCCTCCCCCCGACTCCCAACCCTCCTTCCCCCAGTGCAAAAGGAGAGTAAAGTGAAAAGAGAAATGATTATTTTTAAAGAAGCGAGTTCCCCCAATCTTCCCCATCCCCAAATCAAAGCATAAAATAGCCTTTAAGGATCTGATCCTGCACCATACTGAGCATCCTCAAGTCCTATTAAAATGGCGCTCGTCCTGGCTGGATAGAATCTTTGGGGTTGTTCTTTGGAAGGATGATTTGGACTTACAGCACTGGGTGGGGAATTTGGAACCAAACCAGAGTCTCCCTCCCGTCTTTACCTCTGCTTTGCCATGTGTCCTTTGGGAAATCGCTTGCCTTTCTGTGCTTTGTTCCCCCATTTGTAAAATAATAATACTCCCCTACTCCACCGGGGCTAACTTTAGTTTAATGTTTGTAAACCATGTGGAGATTCTCAGAGGGACAGTTGTGGGAGAGCTCCATGCGGCGACATGTACCAGTCAGGTTTGCTGGAGATTAATAGTTTGAATGCAACTTACCCACCTAAATCACATTTTAAACAACAACAAAGAAATGTTAAGAGGAAGCCACTGCCATTTCTCCCATCTCATTCAGACGGTGGCTGCTTTGAGAAAGTGTCTGTCATGACTAGTGGAAAGTCTCAGTAAAAACAAGTCTATGTAAAAACGAGTAGTCATGTGGCACCTTAGGGACTAACAAAATATATAGAGGATCATGAGTTTTTGTGGGAAAAACCCGCTTCATCAGATGAGGGGGAGGATGACTAGTGGAGGGTGCCACCCAATGGCTGTTCATTAGCAAATAAAATAAAACCCTGCCGGGGCAGGGAGGCGCAGGTATGTGAATGGAATCGGTCTCCCCATGGCCTGTAACTTCAGACACAAGATATAAAAAAACTAGAAGAGCTGTCTAGAGCGAGCAGGGCAAGTCAGGAGAAGATCCCAAGAGCTGTCTCTGAAGTAGGAAAACCTCCTCTTGGGTATCATGGGAAAAGGAATGTTCGGAAGTTGAAAAGCCTGTACATAGAAGGATTCAAGGCCGACATTTTTGAAGTTGGATGCTGGAAGCAAAGCATCTAAATCCATATTTAGGACACTAAATAAGTAGCCTGAGTTGATAATGGGAGCTGCTGGTGCTCAGCACCTTGGAAAATCGGGGACAGTTTTTAGTGGTACGTCAGCTGCTAAGCACATGAGTTTGCAAATGGTCTGAAAGCATTTCAGGGCCATTGCCTCCAGTTGTGTATACGGGATGGCGGGGGGAGAAGGGAGGAGGGAGGCACTAAATTGCAAAGCTTGCTACAAGAGGCAGAAACATTCACATTCCAGGAGGCAGAGAGGGTCGCCCCCCCAACGCTTTCTGGGGTACGTGCTTCCAAATGTGGCAATTCATTGGAATCACCCAAGCCCTGAGCCATAAACTAATTGTGAGAGCCGTTTCCACTGGGCCAGCTTTAAAAGAGATAAGATGCCTCTTTACTATAAATCTGGAAAAAATATACATAAAGGTTGATGTGTTTTGAAATGGGTTTTTGCTTTGTTCCTCTATTTTCCCTCTGGGCATATTAACCTCGGGGACACTGTAAAAAAGCACATGCGGCAGGAGCACCTGCTGGGGTCAGGGCTAGTCATTAGTTTTTTCGGTCAGTGCAGAATAAACCCCAATTCTCCACGTCTGCATCGCTCTCTGGAAGTGTGCGCTCTGCCGCTCGCTCTCTGCCAAAGTCCCACTTTTTCCTGCCTGACTTGTTCCTCCACAGCTATTCCATCTCCAGCTGTGGGGGCGTCAAAGAAGAAGATGAGATCAAGTTGAGGGGAAAAATTGTCTGATTTCTCTAGCCTTTGTTCCCAAGCCCTCACTAAGCTCCAGTGCTCTCCTTTGTGATGACATCAAAACTCTTGGCTAGGCAAGATTTGCTGCCTGTACAAGCCCTGGTTTCTACTTTGGAGATGGTGGTGGTGAGCACACCTGGACTTGTGTACAAATAAGTACCACGAGGGAGCTGAAGTAAAGAGCCCTGGGCAGGGGGGATCCAGATGTTCCATCCAGGATAGCTGTGAGAGCCCTCTCCCTCATCTTCTCTGCAACCCTCAAAGGGCTGGCGGCCTATAGCTTGACAAACTGGGGAGGAAGAATGTGCAATGGTTCCAGTGAGAGGTCAGCAGTTTAATGGGAGCTGAAAGATGGCGATGAAAGCATGTCAGCAGCAGGGAATGGACGACGGGAGGGGTCAACTTAGAATCCTAGAACACTAGAACTGGAAGGGACCTCGAGAGGTCATCGAGTCCAGTCCCCTGCCCTCGCGGCAGGACCAAGCACCATCCCTGACAGGTGTCTGTCTAACTTGCTTTTGAATATCTGCAGTGATAGAGATTCTACAACCTGCCTTGGCAATTGATTCCAGTGTCTAACCATCCTGACAGGAAGTTTTTCTTGATGTCCAACCTAAACCTCCCTTGCTGCAATTTAAGCCCATTGCTTCTTGTCCTATCCTCAGAGGCCAAGGAGAACAATTTTTCTCCCTCCTCCTTATAACAGCCTTTTACACACTTGAAAACTGTCCCCTCCCAGTCATTCTTTTCTAAACTAAACAAGCCCAGTTCTTTTAGTCTTCCCTCATAGCTCATGTTTGCTAGACCTTTAATAATTTTTGTTGCTCTTTTCTGGACCTTCTCCAATCTCTCCATATTTTTTTTTTTTGAAATGTGGTGCCCAGAACTGGACACAGTACTTCAGCTGAGGCCTAATCAGCTCAGAGTAGAGTGGGAGAATGATTTGATGGTTCATTGTCTCTGGGCCATCTGGCATTGGCCACTGTCAGAAGATGGCCTAGATGGACCTTTGCTGTGACCCAGCCTGGCTGTTCTTATGGCTGCCCAGAGTTGGGTAGGAGGCAGTCCTAGAACAGGGTGAGAGAAGTGAAAACCCTGAGTAAGTCAAAAGGATCAAACCTGGGACCACCGGCTCTTAAAGCCTCACCTGCTGGAGCAAAGGGACCCAACTCTGTTTGTTTGGCCGTGCCGGTTGAAAGTTCCTCAGCCCCTGTCTGTAGCTCAGTTGTTCTAACGTTGGATACTGTTAGTGCTATCCAGAGTGGGTGTGAGTTGCACACCGGGGTGGGGAGATTGTGGAACTGGAGAGAGGGAGGAAGTCAGGGCTGTCTGTGACATTTGGGTGTGGTTAAACCTGGAGTATAAAGCACACTGGTTCAGGGGCACTGTATATTCCCAGTGTGCTCCCCAGGTGGTCTGGGAGCCGGTAGTACTGCCTTCAGGCATGCACAGTTACAGCAGGCAGCAAATTATAGCCGTCCTTTCTCTCTCCCTCAGAATCAGGCACCTCCAGGCCTCTATACTAAGACCAAAGACCCTGCCACCTCTCCAGATACCCCAGACATCCTAGAGATTGAATTCAAGAAGGGTAAGTGCTTTGGGGTCCTGGTTTTATTTTCCAGATTACCTCTTTTGGGGACGGAGCTGCTTCTGCCCACCTTCAAAGTCCTTGGGAGGGTTGGGGGTGGGGGAGAGAGATGACAATGGACTTTGATAAGACCAGGGGGCAATGGATTTTGATAAGACGAGGGTTTTGGCCTTTTGTCTTTCACTGATTTTGAATGAGGAGATGGAGAACATGGGTCCAGGCTGATTTTAGCTAGAGGGGGCCATTAGTTTCCAGGCCTGGCTATGGCACTGAATCCAAATTTCCCCCATCTCTGCTCATGCCTCTTTCTGGGTAGTGAGAAGGGCCAGTGCTCCCACCCTGATCGTTTGTGCTCGGGGGATACCTTTCCTGACTTCCCAGCTTACTTGGCTTGGTGCAGCTCTCACTACTCTTACTTGCCAGAGCGCCTCATGTAGGGTTGCCAGGTGTCTGGTATTCACCCGGACAGTCCGGTATTTTCACCTCCTGTCCAGTAAAAAAATTCAGA